GGGGGGGGGGGGGGGCGGGGGGGGGGGGGGGGGGGGGGGGGGTGTGCTGTCTACCTTGGTCAGGAATCCCCTTCCAATAGCCACAGGATTGTCCCCGTTCTGTGGGCACTCCAGCCTGCTTCAGAGCCTTCCTGTCGCTGTGATAAGGGGTCTGCCTGTTTTCTGGGATTCCCAGGGCTACCCAGCAGGTTGGCAGGTTGGCCACCCACCCTTCCCCCCCGGGGCGCAGGGGACCGCGCTGGGCCGGCGACCCTCCTGGCGGCGCGCCCCCGGTCAGCCAGCGCTGAATCCAGCTTTATTGTCGCTGTCTACGCCTCCGGGCGCTGCCTGACCGTGACCGCGCGGTAGAGCGGCTCGAGGGACGAGGCCCGGAAGCGGCGGAGGAGGTTCCCGCCGCCCGCCGCGCCGTAGCAGGACAGGCGCGCGCTGGGACGCGCCATGCAGCGCCATCTGCACGTCGTCGCGCCACCCCGAGAACCCGAGCGAGTCCCACTCCAGGCACCACGGGCAGGGCTTGCGGCCCAGCAGGTGCGCGATGTCGCGGCGCGAGCGGGGGGTTGCGGCGGTAGGTGACGCCCAGGCGCGCCCACGACTTGGACCCTTCGGCCTCCCAGCACAGCGCCCGCGGCCACGGCTGGAAGCCCGGAAAGGGGCCGCCCGCGGCCGATGGCTCCAGGAGGACGCCCAGGTTCAGCACCGAGTGGGTCTCCTAGAACGGGAACAGCTCCTCGCTGGCCGTGGCTGGGTCCAAGTTCAGGTTGCAGTAACCTGGGGAGGGGGGTTGGGGGGAGAGCCAAGGTCAGCGGCCCCCAGGGCAGAGCGCTGGAGGCCTCAGGAGGAAGGAAGGAGGGTGTTAAGTTGTATGTCATTTGCATAGAAGTCTCAGGATGCTTCCACCCCAAGCTCCTAGGAGTGGCCCCTCTACCCACTCCAGTCCCCCAGCTCTGGCCCGGGTGCTGCTGACGTGTCTGCTGGAAGGATAAGTTGGGTGCTATCCAAAGTTCCACCTTGCCAGAGAGGTGGCCAGGAGTCCTCCTCGCCCTACCAACACATCCTAACATAATCTCCCTTTTTATTCAGGACACGAGGCTGAGTGGGACTGAGGGAGTGTCAAGGGTTCCTGGAGGAGGTGACAATACAACTGTCACCTTCAAGGTCCCAGGGAAGCTATTGGGATTTGGCCCCTGTCCCAGCCTGGGAGAGGGGCAGGGACTTCAAATGGACCGGGAGAGTGTTTGAGGAAGAAATGCACAGAGCCCATCCCAGCTGGCTTGGCTAAAACTCAGGGGAGGTTGGCAGGTACCCAGCTGTGGGCAGAGGTTGTGCCACACAAGAGTCAGGGTGCATCTGCAGAGCTGGCCTCTGGGGAGTAGTTGAGGCCTTGCCCCATCCACAGGGGAGGGTGGGACAGTGTCTTCTCCCCTTCCTATCGGGGGCGTGGGGTCCAGGCTAAGTCCTTCTGAAGTCCCCAGTCCTGAGTGAGAGATCGGGCAAGAGTCAGCTGGCATCTCCCCTGAGGCCCTGGCCTGAATGTAGCTGGGGCTGGGGAAGTTGAGGCACCCAGGTGCCCTGCTTTTTTCCTTCCTACCCGAGGCCAGACCCCAGTACTGAGCATTCACACTTGAGGAGTGTTTTCCTGTCCACAGCTGGGGGCAACACCTCATAGGAGCTCATCTGAATGCCTGGGGGAGACGGAGGGGCTTTGCTGAGGACACTCTCACAACCCAGCATCCTTCCAGAGAGAGGCGTGGGCATCCAGGAGGCTGCCTCACCTGGGGAAGGTGCACACGGGCAGGCAGGGCTCTACAAGTACCCAGAACCCCAACCACTGCCTTGTAGGGCAGTCCCACCCCCGGAATGCAGGCCCCAGGCCGCCAGGGACTGACCCTTCAGGAGAAGCTGGTTGACATAGCTGAGACCCACACCCACCAGCTGGGTCCGGAGCTTGGCCAGGGTCTCTGGCAGCTGGAGGAAGCTCTGGGTCCCTTCACAGTTGGTACCCATCAGGGGTTCCATGCAGGCTGGGAAATGCTTCACCCTGGGGAACTCCTGGTGTGCAGGGAGGGGCCACTGGTACCACCTGTCAGCCAGGGCTCAGGCAGATGCCTGGGGCTCCCGCTTATTCCAGGGGCCCAGTGGTCCCCAGAACCATGGTCAAGTAGAACAGAAGTTGCCCATTTTCAAACCTCAACATCTCTCCTTTCCTCCTACTTGTTTGGACATCTTAGGATCGGGCTCTGCCAAAGGTATGGTCAGTGTGGCCTAGTGCATTAAGTGAAATGGATTTTTGGAAAACAATGGAAGGACTTCTGTCGAGACTTCAACTGCTTAGTGAAAACCATGGCCAAATGCTTCCTGTTGTGCTTGGAGACGAGGTGAGCAATAGCCCCGGAAATTATGTTTCTGGGGGTGTGATGGCAGCATAAGAAGGGAGGTCTGGGCTAGGAGTTCCCAAGCACAGGCTTGGGCCGCCCCAGGCTCCCATAGAGAAGGCTGCTGTCTGCTGCCCTACCCAGGACACCCCTGGCAGCAGCACCAGATCAGGCTGCAGGGCCAGGCTGGGCTGGGGAGGCAAGAGGAGTTTCAGTCCAGGTTATATAGATATTTCTGGTCTCACTTCCAGCCATCTGGTCTGGGAAAGTTTGGAGAAACTTCGACAGTGTCAGACATCCCGAATCCCAGGGCAAGCCCTTACGGGTTCCAGGGAAGCAAAGGCAGGAAAGTTAAGGTAAAGCGAGTTCTGAGGTGGAGGAAGAAGATGAGGGTGTTGGTGTGAGCTCAGGAGGGATGACCTGGGGTGGTGAGGCTCCCTGAGGCAGGGGAATGGACAAAGTGATGCAGCCCCAAACGCGGGTCACTTTGTCCAAGGTCCGGGCAGATCTGCTGTGTTTGTGGGTGAAGAGGCTGTGACAGGGCCTGGGCCAGGGGTGGGGAGGGGTAGGTCCTCACCTGCAGAAACTGCTTGTCGCTCTGGTTGGCAAGCAGGCTGTGGAGCCAGACATTGTCCCCCTGCAGCTTCAGGAGCTGGCTGTGGTTCTGCTGGAGGGAGCTGTCCCCAGGGCAGCTGCCTCCTCTTTCTCCACGAAATCTAACATCTTTGTCTGCAGCTGTTTGACCTCCCAGATGATCTCCGAGAAGCAGGTGTTCACCTCATCTCGCATCCTCTGGGTCAGTTTCTTGGGGAGGGGGGCACGTAGAGAGGCATCTCTGAGCCACATTCCGGGACCTCCATTGTCACGGCTCAGAGCCGGCCTAGGCATCCCGTCTCCGCCTGGCCCCACGCCATCCACTCAAGTTACCGAGTTTCCCTCAGCCTGATGCCAGGCACTGGGGAAGCCTGGGCCTGGGGTGGGGGTGGGGGTGGGCTGACCTTACCGAGAGAAAGGCCACCCGCCCCCAGTGCTTCTGGTTGTCGGTTGCAATGATCAGCATCTGGTTCTCCACGTTGGCCTGGACCTTCCGAACCTCCATCTAGGTAAGGGGTGGAGGAGGAAGGGCCCCCGATTCAGAGAGGCGGCCTCCGAGAAGCCCTTCTGTAAACAGCCCCATTCCCGAGCCCAGAAGAAACATACCTCGTGCATTCACCTGCTTGGTTTAAGTGAGAATGAGAGAGAAAGACTAGAGCTGAAGGGTGGATGGCCCATAGTCCACCCTCGGCTCTGAGTCTCACTCCCTGGGTGCCTGTCTCCCCACTGGTATGGTTCAGGTTCTTTGCTCCTAAGTGATGACCACTGGGTTTCAGGCCATAGGAAGGGTCTGGGGAAGGTTCAGTGGCTTGAGTGGCTCGGGAGGCAGAGGAGCCAGGAGGGGCATGTCAGGTCTGCAGCCTTCTGGGCTCCCAGGCACTGCACTGCCAGACCCGAGTCCCTCTGCATAAGCCTTGAGTCTCCACCTATTCCAGCAATGGACATTTTCATTGGTATAATGTATTACAGAGCAGTGCTATTCCAAGTGCCTGTCCATGGACTGTTGCTGGTCCGTAACAAAATGAGAAGCTCGTGCCAGACTGTAAACCAGCATCGTGCTTCCTGAGCTGAGAACGTCTTGCAGTGAAGAAAGTGGCAGCTGACCAAAACAGCGTGAGCTTAGTGATGAAGTTGGTTTATGTTCTGGCTCAGGCTCCCTGTCTTGCCATGGCCCCCTGACAGGTGGCTGTGCTAGACTAGCACTGCTACAGAATAAACATGATAGGATATCTAAAATGTAAGCATTCCACTGTTAAAAAGTCATACAAATATATTAAACAAAATTTGAAAAAAGAGAAAGTAGGGGGAGGATTCACCCAACCTAACACGATGTGTTTGCATTCTGATGTGTTGACATAGGCTTCATACAGACAATTCTGGATCTGTATTCATTTAAGTCGCCAGCACGTTTCTGTGTCATGACATGATCCTGGTGATCACCGCTTTAATAGTCGAATGATTTTCCTCCGAGGAAATGTGAAAGACTCAGAGAGCTGAGAGTCCCTACCTGTCCCCACCTCACCTCCTTGCGGGCATGCTCCTCCTCCAGTGAGGTGGTGTCGTGGTTCCTATGCTCCTCCAGCACACAGGCCCTGCACACGCAGCAGCCTTCTGTGCGACAGTACAGCCGCCGCAGCTTGTGGTGTTTCTGGCACAGGCCTTGAGATCCCACATGGGCTCCAGCAGCTGGTGGCCCTTCAACGGGTCCTCGAAGTGGCTGCACAGGTGCTTCTCGCACAGGGAGGCCATGCACTGCAGGTGTGACTCGACAGACTTGAGCTTCTGGGGGGAGCAGAAGTCACAGGGCACATCCCTGGGCCCTGCCAGGTTCCCCAGGGGTGCTGAGGCCCGGCCCTTGGCCTGGGTGAAGCAGGCCACCATCTCCCCCAGGATGATATTCTTGCAGAGGTATGGCCTGGAGGGGAAGCTTTCCCGGCACTGGGGGCAATAGAGTGCCCCGCTCATGGCAGTCTGGTGGTCCTAGAAACCTTGGAGGTAGGTCATGCAGAAGTTGTGGCCACAGGCAGTGGTGACTGGGTTGCAGAACACCTCCAGGCAAATGGGACAGAGGACTTGGTCCTCTAACATGCGGAGATTGCTGTTGTTACTCATCAGGAGCTGGCCTTGCGGGGTTCTTGAGGGCTGGGCAGGGGGCTGCAGGGCTGAGACTTGGTTCTGGGCTGGCCCTGGGAAGACAGAGCAAAGCCAGCTGAAGCCAAGGCAAGAGTTGAAGGGCCTTTAGGGGAGCACACCTGTCCTCTTAGAAGCAGCTGTGGTGCAGGGACTATGTCACAGGCCAACCTACATGGGAGGCATAAATTGGGGACTGTGTTCTTCTTGTTCCAGCCCCAGTTCCTGGAAAAAATCCTGGACAAGAGGGCAGATGGGCAGAAAGATGTTGCATCATGCCAAAGGAAAGGAGCCACTTCCTAGGCACTTTGGAGGAAGGGCCAAAAGCATAAGTACTTACATGAAACTCTCTGCATGTCAGGGATAGCCAGATACTCCGCTGCCCTGTGATGAGAAGGAAAAGGATCTTGGACACGCCTGCACCAGGACCTTGCCCTGATGCTGGGAGGGTCCCCATCAGTCCATTGTGCCCACACCCCGAGTGCCTTATGTTTCTTGGGGTCTGATGACCGTCTTCTCACCTTTCCCTCTGGCTGCTGTTTTGTAGTCTCCCTGTCACAGTGGCCCCCCTCCTTGAAGACTGCCTAAAATCGTGCTCTCTGGCGTCACAGTTCAAGTGTGACCAGCCTGGCATTCTGTTCGTGATGTCAGCAGCACAGGTGTGCCCCGGACATGCTGCTGCAGGTGCATTCTTTACTCCAGAGCCTTCACCCTGGGAGGCAGGGTGGCTGCTGGCACCTGGGGCCATTGCGGTAGACTTCAGAGCCTTTCATATGACCGACCAGAAAGGGAAAATGTCAGCTAAGTGACAGCAGGATCTTGGGTAACTCATTTAGTTTAGTCTCTCTGGACTATGGTTCTTCTCTTGTGAATCAATAGGTTGTTGTGTATTTCAAGACCCCTTCTTGGTCTAAAGTTAGATGATGCATGATCTGACTTGTGATCATGAAGGCTGCTTGTTCCACTGTAGTTCTGATCTTTGCAATTTTTCTTTTATGCAGTGTCCTTGTCAGTTTTGGTATTAAGGTCTGCTAGCCTCATAAAGTGAGTTGGGAAGTGTTTGCTCCTTCTCACTTATTTGGAAAAAGTAAGATTGATATTATTTCTTCCTTAAATGTTTGGTAGAATTCACTGGTAAAGCCATCTAGGCCTGGAGTATTTATCCCGCCCCCTCAGGAGAATTTTTTGTGTGCAGTGAGTTTATTAACTACATATTCAATTTCTTTTTTTTAAAAAGATGACCGGTAAGGGGATTTTAACCCTTAAATTGGTGTTGTCAGCACCACGCTCACCCAGTGAGCGAACCAGCCATCCCTATATGGGATCCGAACCTGTGGCCTTGGTATTATCAGCACCGCACTCTACCAAGTGAGCCACGGGCCAGCCCTTCAATTTCTTTAAGAGATTTAGAATCATTGATATTGCGTATTTCTTGTATCAGTTTTGGAAAATGGTGTTTTCCTAGGAATTTGTTTATTTTTCAAATCTACATCTTCAAATTTTTTGGTATAAAGTTTTTCATAATATCTACTTATAATTTTTAATATAACATAAAATTTTCCAGCTTAATAATTTTTGTGCATAATTCAGTGTTATTGAGTACATTCACATTGTTGTGCAAACATTACCACTATCTATAAGTGCTATAGACAATGTTTGTGTGCTTGCAAAATTCATATGTTGATATCCTGACCCTGAATATGGTGACATTAGGAGGTGGGGCCTTTGGGAGGTGATTAAGTCATGAGGCTACCTTCGTGAATGGGTTTAGTGCCATTATATGATGTGTCTTTTTTTTTTTTTTTTTGAGGCCGGCAAGTACCAGGGTTCAAACCCCTGACCTTGGTGTTATAAGGCCGCACTCTAACCGACTGAGTTCCCCTGCCAGCCCTAGTGCCATTATAAAAGAGACCCCAGAGAGTTCTCTCACTCCGTTCTGCCATGTGAGGACATGGTGAGAACCAGAAGTGGGTCCTAACCAAGGTTGCTGATGCCTTGATCTTGGATTCCCAGCCTCCAGAACTGTGAGAAATGAATAGTTGTTTAAGCCACGTAGTCTGTGGTATTTTTGTTATAGCAGTCCAAATGGACTAAGACAATATGCAAACCTTTTTTATCACTCTTTTGTTGTTATTGTTGTTTTTTGGCAGCTGGCTGGTAAGGGATCTGAGCCCTTGACCTTGGTGTTATAACATCACTCTCAAACCAACTGAGATAACTGGCCAGCCCCTTATCACTCTTAAGAGAAACATTGTAACCATTAAGCAATAATTCTTGTAACCATTAAGCAATAATTTCTCCCTCCCCCCTGTCCCTAGTAATCTCTAATCTACTTTCTGTATCTATGAATTTGCCTATTCTAGATATTTCATATGAGTGGAATCATACAATATTTACCCTTTTGTGTCTGGCTTATTTCGCTAAGAATGTTTTCAAGGTCCATCCATGTTGTAACATGTATCAGAATTTCATTCCTTTTTGGGCCGAGCCCATGGCGCACTCGGGAGAGTGCGTCGCTGGGAGCAAAGTGACGCTCCTGCCGCGGGTTCGGATCCTGTATAGGACTGGCCGGTGCGCTCACTGGCTGAGCATGGTGTGGGTGACACCACACCAAGGGTTGCGATCCCCTTACCGGTCACGAAAAAGACAAAAAAAAAAAAAAAGAACTTCATTCCTTTTTATGGCTGCTGAATAATATTCCACTGTATGCATATACCACATTTTTTAATCCATTCATCTGTCAATGGGTGGATTGTTTCCACCTTTTGACTGTTGTAAACAATGCTGCAGTGAACACTGGCATAGAACTATCTGTTTGAGTCTCTGTTTTCAATTCCTTTTGGTGTATATCTAGGAGTGACACAATCTTTATAAAGACTGTAGGATCTGTAGTAGTGTCTCCTCTTTCCAGTCCTGGTGTTAGTGGTGGTTTCTTTTTTCTTGATGAGTCTCAGTAGGATTTTACCATTTTACTCATCTTTTCAAAAAATTAACTCTTGGTTTTGATGATTCCATTGTATGTTTGTTTTCTATTTAATGGATTTCTGTTGTTTTTATTTTTTCCTCCCTTTTACCTTCTTTGGGCTGGATTTGCTATTCTAAGTTCCTGAGAAAGATGTTTAGATAATTTATTTTTAGCCTTTCTTCCTTGTTAATAGTTTTTCCCCTTTAAGTATGGCTTATGCTGCACCCCATAGTAAAAGAACATTATTGTTATCATTGAATTAGAAATATTTTCTAATTTCTATTGTAATTTCTTCTTTGACACATGAGTTATTTAGAAGCATGTTGATAAATTTTCAAAAATATAGGGGTTTTTTTTGTTTTCCTGTTTTTGGGGGGTGTTACAACACTGCACTCTAACAAACTGAGCTAACCGGCCAGTTCCAATATAGATATTTTCTAATTATCATTTTTATTATTGATTTCTAACTTAATTCCACTGTAACCAGATAATATGTTCCATTTAAATCCTTTAAATTTTCTGGAGGCTTGCTTTATGCCTCGCAACATGGTCAATGTAGGTAACTGTTCCCCATGCATTTGAAAATTCAGAATGTGTATTCTGCAGTTGTTTGATGTAGNGGTAACTGTTCCCCATGCATTTGAAAATTCAGAATGTGTATTCTGCAGTTGTTTGATGTAGCATACTACTTATATCCAGCAATGAAGTCTGTAAATCATGTTGTTAAAAGCATCTATATTCCTATTGATTTTTTTTAGGTCTGTTCTGTTACTGAGAGATGTGGCAAAATTCCTAGTATTATTATGAATTTTCCTATTTCTCCTTTTAGTTCTATCAGTTTTTTTTTTTTTTAAAGATGACCGGTAAGGGGATCTTAACCCTTAGCTTGGTGTTGTCAGCACCACGCTCAGCCAGTGAGTGAACCGGCCATCCCTATATAGGATCCGAACCCGTGGCCTTGGTATTATCAGCACTGCACTCTACCGAGTGAGCCACGGGCTGGCCCTAGTTCTATCAGTTTTGAGCCTAGATGCACATCAAGTTATAATTGTTATGTTTTCCTTATGAATAGTAGTTTTGCCATTATTGATTCTTTATTATTCAATTTCCTCCTTCCTCTCTATTAACTTGGTAGTTATACATTTTTTGTTGTTATATTTTGAGTAGTTATCTGAGAAATTATAACATGTATCCATGACTTATCAAAGTCTAATGTAAGTGTTTATCTCTTCTCTAATAATTCAAACCCCTAGAATATTTTAACTTCATTTACTTCATCACAACTTTTATTATTTTTGTGTATTTTTTTTTCCTTTTTTTTTGAGACTGGCCGCACTGCACTCAGCCAGTGAGCGCTGTGAGCGCACTGGTCATCCCTATATAGGATCCGAACCTCCGGCGGGAGCATTGCTGCACTCCCAGCGCCGCACTCTCCCGAGTGCGCCACGGGCTCGGCCCTATTATTTTTGTGTATTTTAATTCTACATATTTTTTAAACCTTTGAGACATGACTAATGTGTATACAGTCAATATTTATTTAAATCAGTTCACATATTTGCTTTTTAAATTGCTCCCCATTCCTTCCTGCATCTCTAACTTCCATCTGAGATCATGTTTTTCTGCCTGAAGAACATCTTTTAGTATTTCCTTAAGTATAAGTCTGTAGGTGACAAATTCTCTCAGGTTTTGGTTATTGATGATGTCTTGATTTCATCTTCATTCTCAAAGTGTATTTTCAATGGGTATAGAATTCTAGGTGGGCAGCTATTTTCTTTCAGCTCTTTGGAGATTTAATTCCACTGTGTTCTGGTTTACATTTTTTCTGTTGAGAAATTGACTGTCAGTCTTATTGTTACTGCTTTGAAAGTAACCTGTTTTTTCCTCCACCCCACCCCACTTTCTGGTGGCTTTTAAGGTTTTCTCCATATTTACTTTTCATCATCAGTTTTATTATAATCTATCTACGTGTATTTTTATTTATCCCGCTTGGGATTTGTAGTGATTCTTGAATGTGTGGCTTGACGTCTTTAGTCAGTTTTGGAAAATTATTTGTTGTTATCTCTTTATATATTGCACCTGTCCCATTCTCTTTTTCTTTCTCTTTCTAGGACTTTACTAATTACATGTGTGTTTAACCTTTTTTTTTTTTTTAAAGATGACCGGTAAGGGGATCCTAACCCTTGACTTGGTGGTATCAGCACCACGCTCTTCCGAGTGAGCCACTGGCCGGCCCTAAATTCTGTCTCTTTTTAAAACCAAACCACAATACCATATTCTGTCACACACACACATTCCAGTATATCAGTCAATATTTAAATGTCTCCAATTATCACATAAATGCTTTTTTACTATTTTTAGTTAGAATCAGGATCCAGGGCCGGCCCCGTGGCTCACTCAGGAGAGTGAGGTGCTGGTAGCGCTGAGGCCACGGGTTCGGATCCTATATAGGGATGGCCAGTGCGCTCACTGGCTGAGCGTGGTGCAGACCACACCATGCTGAGGGTTGCGATCCCCTTACTGGTCAGAGAAAAAAACAAAAGAAAGAAAAAAAAAAAAAAGAAAGAATCAGGATCCAAATAAGGTCCTTACATTGTATTTGGTTGATAGGTTTCTAATGTCTCTTTAAGTTTATGACAGCTTCTTCTCCCACTTTTCCCTCTTGCCACTTACTTGTTGAAGAAACAGAGTCATTTATCCCTGACAATTTCCCCTTTCTCAATGTGGCTTGCTGGATTTCCATAGTATCATTTAACATGTTCCCCTATCCCCTGTATATATTGTAAGCTGTTAAGATTTGGGTTCCATTTT